CCACTGCAACCCTGCTGGGACCCTGCCTCCTCTTCTCCCCCTGGATTCCCATCTCCTGTCTGGCTCTCTAAACAATCCCCCTCCTCTCCAGGCCCTGAACCCTCCCCACACCACACACCTGCCCAGGAACCCAGCCCCCTTGTGCTGTGTCCTGACACCCTCAGCCCTGCTTGGGACCCAGGTGAGTCTCCCTCCCCCATGTCTGAGGAAGGGGAACACTGCTGTTCCCAATGCCTGTCCCCCCAAGACCCTTCCTGTCTGGGGTAGGAGAGTTTTATTTAAAGGGATCACAGTTCCAATTTTAAGAGGCTTTGTTTTAAATATACTTTTAAAATAAAATTGATAGGGCCTAAATTTATCAGAGCCTATTTAAATAACTAATTAAATAGAACGTGTCAACTTTTAAAGAAATTCTACCAGTTCACTAGTACAAGTTGCTGCGTAAGCATCCAGCCCATGTTTACATCAGCAGTAGCATCTTCTGCTGGTGAAGAGAGAATGTTTTTAGCACTTGGGTTTATTGAGCTAGTTCGATTCAGTGATTAGTTCATTCACCATTGCAAAACCGAGAGTTGACAAAGCAGAAAAACTTGTTTTCTCTTTTCAGTAAAAAAACTGGTTATGAAAGCATTCTAACACCTTGAAGATCATGACTAGAATTGATCTGTTCAATTCACTATGGATATTTCCTTTGTTTAATAAATGAATTTTAGATGAAAAATGTTTGGATAATTTTGTTGTGTTTCACACTTAAGGTAGTTTTATTTCATACAAAAATTAAATGTGGTTTATTTTAACTAGAATTTGTCCAGACAGGAGTAGATGCAGATCATGTTTTAAAGAGTAGCCACCTTTTATTATTTGCTAAGTAGGGTAAAACTTGTCTCAAGTGTTCCTATTACATTTTTATTCTTACACACCATTTTGCAATCAGATTCTTTAAGTTTACATGTAAAGTGCCCAAATTGTGTAACTGTACTGAGTATATTCTCCTGGTTAGTAAATATGCCCAATTTGGTGCTTCTAGAGGTTATATTTATTTCTAAGTCAACATGTTTTAAGGAGTGCTTGGTTATTTCCATATTCAAAAGAGTATTATAATGTTAGTCTGTTATTTTTATGATAGTGATAGTGCCATAAAGGGAAACTGTTACATGTTATAGTTTCCAGTCCACTTCTATATTTTATTAAATATATCCGCTTACAGGACAGGAGGGGGGACTAGACCAGTTGTCTCCAACCTTTACACACCCAAGATCACTTAAGTCTCAGCACAGGTGAAGATCTACTGCCCTGCCCCACCCCTTCCTTGAAGCCGCACCCTCTCTATTCTCCTGTCCATCACTTGCTATCCCCAGCCCTTATAGACTGTTAAGCAGTTTAAGTTATGCAATATATAAAATTAAAGTCACATGTTTTTAGTTATGAAATAAATGGTCTGTTTAATTCATGCTATTTAAATGTCAAATGAAGCATTTACAAAATTACATTTTGTTCTGTGCTTTTTAAATCTAAAATCAAGTATTGATAATTATATTTTTTCTTCCAACAACAGTCAGTGTGACACCTGTGACTGAACAGTATCTGCCAGTGTCTTGAAGTCTGGGTTGTAGTCTGAGATTGCTAGTCATATACAGTCCATCAGATGGGCATCTGATCCTGTGCTCAGCCTGGGAAGCTTGCTCCATCACAGCTGGAGCTAGACACAGCCTCCCTGGGCTGAGCACAGGGCAGCTGGGCTGGAGGGAAGAGAAGTGGCTGCCCGGCCAGCTGGCCATGGTGCTGAGCCAGGGTGCACCAAGCTCCACATGGGCAGGCACAGAGAAGCCGCCAATCAGCTGGAGTGTGGGGCAGCCTCTTTCAGCTGAAAGCCACAGTCAGCTGGCTGGGGTGTTTCAGCCCTTCCGACCTCCCAGCTCCCACCATTCCTTGCAGCTACTCACCTGTGCTGTTGCTCGGTGCGTAGCTGCTCCTCAAATGAGGGAATCTAATGTAAATGTACTGCACAGGCACAGTTCAGCGAGGGCTCAAGAGCTACTCTTAGAGCCCCTGAGATCTACCGGTAGGTCACGATCTACTGGTTGGTGACCACAGGACTAGACCCGTTCTGGGCACCACCACAAGTTAGACAAGTCTGCTGCCCCTAGTCATGGGGTACAGATCCCAAAGAATGGAGCCTGCCATCTAGCTGCTTAGATCCTGAGCTTCCTGCAGACCTCAGGTCCCGGCTTCTGCCGTTTACCCCCAGGGTGCATGTGTTCACATGCTTCATTGCACTTGCTGCAGAGAGCACTGCCACATGCAGGCCCTTTGGCAAGAGGAGCCGTCTAGCAGCCCCGCCCCTCACAAGCTCACCTCCCCTGCTGGGCTCACGTGAGTATGCAGTGTTTCCAGCCTACTGGGACAGGTAAATACTGGGGTGCCCCTTTCACAGGAGCAAGGGGTCTGACCTGCCTCTATCCAGCCACTGTAGCCTCTGACAGAGCCTTCTTGTCAGAGGTGCCAGGACAAAGACCCCTGGCTGCCCCACAGGTCCCCCATGTCTAGGTGGGGCTCCCACTCCCCACTGGGACAGGCAGGTGCAGTTTCATTCCCTACCGACAGGGTGTGCCAAGCGCTGAGTAGCAGAACAGTCAAGTGCCATGAAGCCTTGTTCTACTGAAGGGCAAGAGGCTCTATGGACTCCTGCTCTATGGACAAGCAGCTATGGTTCCCCTTTGGCTTTACAGCCCTTTAGAAGCAGGCGTCTCTAGGGAACGTCTGGGAGAAGCCCAGCTTGTGCAGGTCCAGTTAAACTGGTCAGACATTCCTAGGTAAGAGCTGGGAGGGTGGGGTTAGTTTTACCCCCATTGAAACAGAGGAGCTAGAGTGATTTTTTCCATTTTAGAACCTCTTGGTATGCCCTGGGGGGTGGGGGGGAAGGGAGAAGAACAAGAGACCTCAAGTCTGTTCTGGTGGGGGGCTAGTATCAGCATTACCCATACTGCAGGCCCCCTGCTAACCCAGGCAGCAAGCCAAATTTGCAACCCGACACCAGTGGCTGCTCAGTCACTGTGGCACAATGCGAGGCTGCCCCAAATTGCTCCCTGCTACCCCACTGCAATTCAGATGCATGTTTGTCACACCACAGCCATACCTGAGAGAACACAGACCAAGCAAAATTTCCCAACCAGCATCTCTCCCTCCCCCCGCGCACGAATACTGCTGAGGGATTTGGGGCCAAGACAAAGGATTCTGCCAATATTCCTTTATTGAGTGAGTTTCCAACATGAAGTTATTCTGTTTTCATAGGTGTTACCAGCTCCTGCAAGGAGAAGAGATGGTGTTAGGCTAATTCTGCCTTCTGAACACAACCTGTCTCCCTGACAGCCACCGGGGAACTGTGCCTGAGGACCTGGCTAGATTGCATGTGCACATTATAACAAAAGAATCACTGGCCCTTAGAGCCAAAGCAGAGGCCTTTTCTAGTCCTTAGAACAGTTGAATTCCAAGATGGAGAGAGGGGAAGAAAAGTTTAGCAAGCTGAGCTGCCAAGTAGCATTGGTTAGTACCAGGGCTCAAATTAGTCTACTTGCCCATGGAGAGTAGATTTTAGCCAGGTGGGGTGGGACTGCAATTTGTGCAGCTAGCAAGCGAGGTTCGCCAGCCACTCTGCAAGCCTGGTTAGTACCCCCTCCATGCACAGGAATATGGCTTTCAGTACTGCAAATGGCACATGTTTAGGCACTTCTTTAAAGTGCTTGGAGAAGATCTTCACTGGCACATTGGTCAGTAAAAGCAGCACTCCTCCCCCACCCTTAGAGATATCAGGGATCCCAGGTGTGGGCCTGCCTGAAATGTAGGTCAGGCCTGAGGGACTGGTGGAGTCTAGGGGCCTCGCCAAGCTGCCTCCTCACCTGTTCTTTGTCGTAGGCATCATTGATGAAGGTCTCACTGTTGGTGAGGTTCTCCTCTTCACCCTGGTCGCTGTCCTTGTGGTAGCTGGTCAGAGTCCGAGAGGAGGCGGTACTGGAGGTCCTGCAGCAGGAGGGGGACACGTCAGTCTCAGTGGTACTCCCTTGCAGGGCAGTCTGGGGACTGAGGGCTGTTTGGCTGCTCTGGGGAGCAGCTTTGGCCTAAGGCCTAGTGGAGAATGGCTTTTGAATGAGTTGTGGGACACAAGCAGTGAGCACGGGGCATTCCTACAGCAGGGCCCACAGCACCGCTTGGCTCAGCCTGCTACCATGGCGACTTGCCAAATCTCCGACTGGCCTGGGGCTCGTGGTGCCCCAAGGGGTCTTACCCCTTCCCATTGGCAGGGAGCACAGGCTTGGAGCGAGGCCACAGCCTGCTGGTAGGGTGGCAGATCTAAGCCACGGTGGTGTCAGATGGCCAGACTAAGGCCCCTGCCAGGGTGGGCTGCCAGCCTGTGACCTCTGGGTTAACAGCCAAGTTGCCTCGCTAGACTGTGGTATGCTACATTGTAGTGCACTACAGCCTGCCTCAGGTGCGCTGTTATTTACCCCAGCCCAGGAATGTGGCTTTGCACCACTCACCCCTTCTGTGAGGGGCAGAAAGCAACAGCCCCTCCCCCCTGCCATATCTGGAGCTTTGATCTAGCACTGTTAAGGAACTGGGATCTGACATGGGGTTGCCTGTGGCAAGGCTACTCCTAGTGATGTGAGCACAAAGCTATTAGGCATCCAGCTTTAGGTTGGGAAGGCCACTGCTGCTACTCTAGTCAGGGTAGATGTGTCTGTACTCAGAGTGACTCTTTGAGTGTTACAAGATTATAAGTACAAGCATTACAGCACATGGTGGCAGTCGCTTCATGTGCTGTACATGGTTGTTTGGACTACACATGCTGTACTTCACTACACAGACCTGTACAAACAAATCATTGCTTGAAGTGTTTGTACTGACTTGGCTACCGCGGTCTCTAGGTTTACAGCCTGCTACAGAGTAGTTGAGGTACCCCTGCAAACACTGCTGCACAGAGCGCGCATCACGGATTTAGAGCCAAGTTTCAGGGAAGAGACCCTCCACCTCTAATACTAGCAAAACCACTGAGGCAAAGGCATGGAGCGTAGTTGCAGGCGGCTTGTAAGATGCCCTGAGGGTGCCAGTCAGCAGACCCCAGGTTATGCAGATGAGGTTCTTCACCTCAGGACCTGCCCTTGATGCACCTTCCCTCCCCACAGTGAGTTGTTCAATAGGCTGCATCTCTAGAGCACCCACTAGTCACGTGGGCTGGTGGCTAAGTAGTGTGGCCAGACAAGTCAGAGCTGCTTGCCCTACACTTGGCGATTCACAGCATCGGAGCAGACTTAACCCCCCTGCACAACACTACGTCCGACACCTTGTTTGTGCTGTTCCAACGCGCATTTGGGAAGAACAGCCTTCCCCTAGCTTGGTGACAGTAGCCTACACAGCACTGGGGACAGTAATGCCAACACCTGCCTCCCACTGAAGCTAAACGAGTAGCCAGTGAGACAATTCTTCTGGAGAAGCTGGGGGGGAGAAGGAGGGTCTTACCTCTTCCGGGTGTACCAGGGTGGGGGGAGTAGGAGGGTCTTACCTCTTCCGGGTGTACTGCCTCCTCAAGTAGAAGAAAGCCCCCACTGCTGCCATGACGACCAGCAAGACTACAGCTAGGCCTAAGACAACGGGACCAGTGGCAGCTTTGGCCTCTGACTTCTCACAGTAGTCGCCACTGTACCCCGGCATGCAGCTACATGTCACTCTGTCCTCCTCAATGGTGCAGTCCCCCCTCAGGTTACAGACTTCACTGCTGCATGGCTGGGGCTCAGGACCCCTTCCGATGCCCTCAAGTGACGGAGAAGGTTCTTCTGTCAACTCCCACGTACTAAGCGCCGTGGTCCTGCTTTCTCTGTAGGGGGGAGGCGTCAGGGCAGCCGGGGTTTTTCTTCTGGGGTATTTGGTCCCTTTGGGGGGCAGGTATCTGGAGCCAGTGATGGGTCTCTTGGCTGCTGTCTGGACAGGTGTTGGCACTAGCACTTCCTCTTTCCTTCCAAAGCCTGGCTTTGTCGGGGCTGGCAGTGTGGGTTTCTTCCTCTCCAGGTAGTCACCTACAGGAGGAGAGCGTGAGCCATCTCACTTGGAGGGCCAGGGCTGGATTGGCCTCAAGATGGAGTTCCCCACTGAATCATACAGAGCTTAAGTTGCTGGGGATAATTTACTGCATGAGTGCGAGAGCCCCTCCCATCTTATCTGGGCAGACGGAACAGTAGAGTCGGGGGCTCCTTGGTAGCCTTTGGCGGTGACTCAAAAGGGGTCTATTACCTCTGGTAGAAGTGTTAGTGTTCTAGGGGCACAGGAAGGGTCTTTCCTGCCCCCCTCGACCAGTGCTGTGATGGAGACCCAACACACCTTGCTGTCTACCACCTCCAACTGGAGAACGGATGCATGTTTCATATGGTCTACCAAGGAGGGATGGTCATGAAGGACTCAACTAAGCTAACAGGACAAGCCCCCATCTCTGAATGGGAGGGGGGAAGGGAAGATTATGGGCAGGACACTGTTCAACGGGAGGTTTCCTGTCTGCTGCTAGCCCTCTAAATGCGCCCCACTCAGTGGGGCACGAGTTACTCACAGGCCAGCTCATCCGATCCATCCAAGCAGTCATTGTGGCCGTCACAGGCTTGCTCCCTGGTGTAGCATTTCAGATGATCTCTGCAGGCTTTCAGGGACTCGGGGCACGTCACCACCCTAGTGCATTCAGTGCCATGCTCCAGACTGTACCCCACAGCGCACTGGCAGGTTCTACCCCACAGCCCCCGTTGTTCTCCGAACAGCCGTTACTCCCTAACAACCAGAGTAAAGGTGACAATGGTGACTCCCACAACACCCTCCTTAATGGAGGTGGTCTTCACTGTTCCTTTATATGTAGATCAAGCCCACCCAAGGAGACAAACAAGCAGATCCACACTAGGGATAGTCTTAGGAATCCACAGGAGTGTTTTAATTGGGTTTTATCAGGATTCCACCCCTGTATACCACACCAGCGTTTGACGCACCTTGTTGGGTGAACTTGCTGTAGATTTTTACGTCCACAATCTTCTGGTCCACTTGAAACCACCAGTTTTCCATGAGTTCCAGCTTGCTATGCCACACTTTAGTTGAGCCTAGCAGACAGGACACTGATTCAGTGTGGAAAGTCAGCATGCATGCACAAATGCAAAGCTACAGAAAGCGATAGCTTACTGCACCGATATGGGCAACTCCTTCTAGGCTATGAGGAGCTGCTAGAAATGGATGAGTTGGAACAGGAGTTGAGAGGTCTCCTCTACACCCATGAGGACGGGTCTTCAGGAAGACTGCTAGATCTGTCCCAGTCTACCTTCCAACAGGAGACTTTATAAGACTAGGATCCAAAGGCTGTACAGACAACCCCCCCCGAAGCAGGTTACATTAGATACTGCCTGCAATGTCCAATTTGTGCCACTGGACTCCAGTGTGTCTCTAAAGGAGAAAGATTCAAGTTAGTGAATGACTCTGTCTTGTTCTAATCTGGAAGAGACCTCAAGTGACATCCAGTACATGGTTGATAGCATCTTGGACTAGTTTGATGTGACTGGCTCAAAGGGACCTTGTTAAAACCCAGAAGCCCAAGCTGGATTAATTGGGTCCTTCCCCAGATTGTGGAAGAGACTCGTTTATAATTAAGCCAAGTTGAAGCCTAGAGGCAAGTGATCCCAAAGTCTCTGTAAGCCTAGGAGAAGGGGTCATCAATTTACAGCAGTGTTAGTTAGGACTAGTCCTATCTCCTGCCCCACAGGTTTTCATATTAGAGCGACCCATTCTAAGAGCTGTTCCCTTTGGACATGTTCCTTTTAGCACCGAGGGACATTAGGGGTCTGTCCCTGCAGCTGGCTTACCATTGTGGGTGGTTGTCCAGACCATCATGCCTTCGCCAGCTGCAAAGAGCGTAAGGCCATGGAGTCCTCCCCGAATTATCCGGAACTTGGCACCATCCAGCTGAATGCTTGCGACAACCCCTTTGGCTGCAAGGAGAAACATCTAGTTTGTGGATCAGAGATGGAGACTGGCCTCCATGTGTGATGGTCACCCAGCCTCACTGGGTTAGGCTGCTGCAGTGAGGTGCCATTGGCCACTGTCAATGTGGGGTGGTTGTGTGGAGACCAAGATGCAGGACAAAGTAGCCTGCTACCTGCATGTGAGGGCTCACTGCTTTGAGACCCCTGGCCTTGCCACCACCACCCCAAAACCAGTATGCTGCACCATACCAGTATCCAGCCACATCAAAGAACACTAGAACTGGAAGGGACCTCGAGAGGTCATCCAGTCCAGTCCTCTGCCCTCATCGCAGGACCCAGCACCATCTAGACTAGTGTTTAACTTTAAGATAGAGGAACACCAAGGATTGCAAGCAAGAGGTTGCCTGCCCCTTTAAGGGTGGCCATTTTGAATGGTTCTCCACAGCACCCCGCCGACTGCCTCGTGGGACAGGGTGGTGCAGAACAGTTTAAGCAACACTGATCTAGACCACCCTTGTCAGCGGTGGCCAAGCTGTCAGGCAGGGCAGTGTCATGTATTACATTAGCTGTTTGCTTTTAGGGCAGCAGAGACCAGTTTATGCAGCAATGCCACTGCGGTCAGAGCAGAATTTGGGTTACTGAGCCTGCAGTTGGAGCGGTGCCTTGTTTGGCAAAGGCAAGGCCAGCCTGTGGGAACTGGATTACATGGGCTTGTTAAGAGGCAAGACCCGTCAGTCTCCTCCACAGCAACTCCTTGCCCTGAAAAGTCTGCAGCTTAGGGGAGCCATGTTGGCCCACTTGTGTGGTCTCTGGACGAGGCAGGCCTCCTGTACTTACCCTGGTCAGCCCAGTAGAGCCGAGTGCCTAAGTCTCCAAAAGTCAGGCCCACGGGCATTTGGGCTTTCTTCCAGAGCACCTTCCGCCGGCTCCCGTCCATGGACGCGCACTCGATCTTTGAGCCGGCCCTCTGGCTCGCCAGGCCCCAGTCAGCAAGGCACATCTTGCTCGTGGGTGGGTGCAGTGCAATGGAGACCGGGTGCTGGAGCCCCTCGCTGCTCAGCACCAGGGTGTAGTGTCCATCGGCCGTTGCCACGCGAATGTCCGAGTTCTGGCCGTCAACCCAGTAGATGTTGCCACTCAGCCAGTCGAGTGCCAGCGACACCACAGTGCCTTCCACCGGCACCACTCTCTTCCAGGACAGCTTGCCAAAATCCTTGATTCGTAACAGCCGGATGTAGCCGTCTTGCCGGTCTGCGAAGTAGAGGGACTTGTCCCGCACTGAGTAGTCAATGGCGGTCAAGTCGTCCACGTTGGTAAGAGGGAAGACTCGGTGCTCAGGAAGGGTCTCTCCCCTGGATGCAGGGGGCAGCTTTTTCAGATATACCTGGAGTGAAAAAACCCAGGTGAAATCTTGCTCTTCATGTGCTTTAAATCTGTGCTTTACTACAGGCTTGGGGAGGAGAGGGGCAGATTCCTAAGTCAGTTGATCATGGTTCGGGCCCCTCAGGGTTAGCTTTCATCTTCTAGATCAAGGGTTGGCCAGTTGCTTCCCAGCTCTGGCATGGGATGGAATTCCTCCTATTGCTGGGAGAACCCACCACATCTGTACATGCCCCTAGTTTGCCTGGCCGGTCAAATTTCAAGCACCACACACCAGGTCCTGATTTCTACTTACCAGGAAACTGCTCTACAGTGTCTGCCTCCCAGGGTTGGGGTGGGGGGTGATTTAGCACATCTAGTAAGGGACTTGCAAAAACTGATTGCACTGACGACTCCAGTACTCACCAGGAGTAGGGGAAGTCGATGGGAGAGAGTTTCTCCCATTGAACCCTGCAGTGGGGATGCTGCAGAAATGCAGACCAAGGCACAAACTCCAGCTGTGCTATTCATGTAGCTGGAGCTGTGCATCTTCGTTTGCCTCTGCCACCCCCTCCCAGCACAGGCCTAGCCTGGGGTCTTTACCAGTTGAGCTGGCTGCAGTGACTTCACAGCATCCCACCAACAGAGCCGTTTCCTGGCTCGTTTAGGAAGCCGGGTGTTACAGGGTCTCAGGAGAGACCACTGCAGGTTATTGTACAGAATCTGCTCCGGTCACATCTCAAAGGAGACCCTATTGGACAGGCTTGTTCTGTCAGCCCTCCCCCGCAGCACAGCAGTACCTGAGTGATCACTGTTGGTGCCACCAGCAACACGAACGCAGAGTCCTTCAGCGGGATGCAGTTCTTCTCGTCAGCCAGCACGTCCCCGAGCGGACAGCGGCAGCTTCCTTTGTGGAGGCCCTGACAAGGGTTAGGGGCTCTTGGCTGTAGTGCTTCATGCAGGATCTACAAGAGAGGCCTGGCAGTCAGATCTCCTGATCCGAGTTCCCCGTGCAAGCCTGCTGGTGGCTTGCCTCATGCAACTAGAGCCCAGAAAGACCACCACAGGGAGAGGTTAGTTTGACTAATGGAGGCCCAGCAAGGCGAGCAACAGGTGGGAGCAGTTTTGAGGAAACAAGCTAGCAGCACTCTACTACAGAGGCGTTAAGGAAAACAAGCCCAGAAGATCCATGCAGGATTAGCTGCTCCAGATGGGTCCTTGTACAGGATAACCACCCCTTGACCCAGATCACATCTGCATTGTCCAGCCCTGCCTTAACCAGACCAACGATGGCGGTCTTGCCTGAAGTGTGGATTTCTAATCAAGCAAATCCAGACCTCATTTGAGTCTGGTGCATGTCCACACAGGCCGGGACAACAGGGGAGAGTTTAAGAGTCAGGAATGCTTTAAACAATCGTGTTGGAATATGATCTAGTGAAACTGCTAAGGACATGGGGAGAAGCTTGGTACGGATATGTATTTCTGACAAGCAAAAAAGACACACAGCTGTAGCACTGTCAAACAAGTCGATTGTTTTTGGCAACAGCCTGAATAGCAGGATGTATCCCAAATATGGGCATAATAGGTATCCTGAAGTTGATTAAGCCGTTAACACCTGCAATCAAGAAGTGGTTAAGTCTCTGGAGTGTCCGTTTCCCTGGGATCTAAACATTGAACCCCACGACAATCCTTCGCACCAGGAGGGTGTGGTTAGAGGAAGTCAGTTGGTCCACACAAGGGGGGGGTCAAGTCTTAGACTTGTTCTACCAGTCACCATAGGTGCAGCCATGTGGGACCTGGGGAGCCATTTGAGTCCCAGTATTGGTTAGTGATTCTTCCTAGATGCTTGGCTCTAAGGGGCAACCCCTCCCTTTGGGAACCAGGCAGCGTCCAGGGAATTGTTGGGTCTGGATCATTAGCCTCTTCCCACTTTTGGCACCTAATGTGGGGCGGGGAAGCATCACTGTACTGCATAGCGAGTTAGTGTCTGCTGAGCGCAGGTACCTTTAGGCCATAGGGCTGCCCATGGCGCTTGAGCAGCACAGCCCGCTTCTTGCCAGTCCTTTTGTCCACACTCTGCACCGTCCGGGTCTTCATCTCCGACCAGTAGACCTCATCCTCAAACACCGTTACCGAGAAAGGGCTCTTGATTTGGCTCAGCTGGAACACCTAGGAGAGAGGGTCAGGCCATCAGCCATGGCAGGGCTAAGGCAGGCGGGCAAGCCCCTAACAGACGGCCCAGTACCTTCATGTCAGTGCCATCCAGGTGGGCAGAGCCAATGCAGTGGAGCTTGTCATCGGACCAGAAGATCCTCCAGCTCAGGAGGTCGAGCGCTATGCCGGTTGGCCAGCCCAGCCCTTTGTCAATGATGATTTTCCTGTTGCTGCCATCCATGCCGGCTCGCTCTATTTGAGGTCTGTCCCCTATTTCGGACCAGTACATTAAGCTGTATGGTGGGAGGAACAGGAGACGTCAGCCACTGTTTCACAGTGAGGATGTCTGCACAAGCAGCTCCCTGGTTATGGGTTGAGGGTTCTGCGCTATGGGCGAGAAGTGGAGAATTTGTTCTGACTATTCCCTTCACCCCAGACTGCAGGAGAGGTTTTTGGAGTTACTTCAGGCTTGGTGCCTTGAGCCACACCACAGCCCAGCGGCTGTCTGAGCCGTTGAGAACACATTTTTCTAACAGTTGCAAGGGCACAAGCCTGCAGACTTTAGACAAGCCACGCTCATCCCCTGCCCTGCATCCAGGAGGCACCATTCGTTTTGGTCAACTCATCCTTCAGGAGAAGGCTTGGAAGAGCCTAGGGGTAGGTCTCCACAGTGGTGCTATTTTGGGATAACATCTGTTGCCTTCTGCGCTGGCTACACAAGATTATTTCTGAACCCATTCAAAGTGGGCTTATTCGGCTTCCTGCGAGCCATGGGGCATGAGGTTTGAGGCTGATGCCGGAATAACGATTTTGAAATTCGGCGCTGTGCAGACGTGCCAAGTTTTGAATGGGCTACACCTTTTGCCTAGCTCAGTGGCATCGCCTATTTCACGGTGCGTGCTACTGTGTAGCTGTACCCCAGCTGGTTTAGATTGCCGGCTCCTCTCCGGCAGAGAGGCAGCAGCTACACGCTAGCCAGTGCTCTGGGCACTGTCTGGCACCACACAGCAGTGACAAGCCTGACAGCACCATGCTCTGGCTGTCTGAGCTGGTACATGGTGCAGAGGAATGCACACACTGCATTGGCTATTAGCCAGGGGGTAGGAATGGGGTCCCTGGCCTGTCAGAGGCTGGTGGACAACAGGAGACAAATCACTTAATCATTGTCTTTGGTCCACCCCCTCTGGGGCACCTGGTGTTGGCCACTGTCAGCAGACAGGATACTGGGATAGATGGACCTTTGGTCTGACCCAGTACGGCCGTTCTTATGTTATGATCTTACTGGTGCTGTGCAGCCAGGGCCATGCAGTTCTGGCTGGAGGCAAGCTGGCTGAAGGAAGTACTGCCCAGCTTGGGGCTTAGAGGGAAACAGCCCTCACGTGGTGGCCAGCCCGGGGCTGCCGCACTGGCACAGCACGGAGGACGAGCAGGCCAGCGGTAGTTGCTGCACAGTGAAGACAGCAGAAGAGGCCTTACCCTGGCAAAGGCTGCAGCACCAGTGAGCGAGGCTGGTCCAAGCCCCCATCCAGGACCACGGTGTACTCCGCGTGGCCTCGCCATGTGGTATTCAGCCCAATGGCCAGCAGCTCGCCTGCTATCCCATCTGTCCAGTACAGGTTCCTCCCGACCCAGTCCACAGCAATGCAGTCTGACTTGATGCCTGAAACCAGAGAGCCACCTAGAAGTTAGTTTTCCTGCAGAGGGAAGGGCAGGGCAGGGCAGGCTGCAGTCTCTGCAGCCTCCTCCAGACACTATGGGCACAGAAGCAGCTAGATGCTCAGCCTGAGAACAGGGTGACAGATGAAGGTGCATGGTGCTCAGGAGTTGCCCTGCCTCCTTTGCCAGGCACAGTGTGCCAGAAGGGGACCAGCCTCTGCTAGCTAAGTGGCAGATGAGTTGACAGCTGTTAGCGTTGGTCTGTGCCCACAGATATGTTGCAGACAAGCAGAGTTGCCAGTTAGGCAGGGGATGCAGAGACCAACAAGTCTGGAAGCTGCAGGGTGGTTGGGCACCTGGGAGTTTCATCATGGGCTAAGCACGTGGCTGGCCTGCCAAGCAAGATGGACTAAAACCTATCACCCTTCCTGACACTCTTGGAGGTCTAGTGCAGAAGGAACAGCCAGGCGTGAACTGAGCCTGCAGGCAGTCACCTGTCTGCCAGTGCTTCCCTTCCTAGAGAGGGAGACACGGACTTGGGAGTCCAAGTTCTGGGAAGCAAGACTGGGCTGTGTTGTGGTTACTTTACCCTGATGGCAGCTAGCTCCATGGGCGAGACACCTGGCTTGTCTGGGACACCACTCGCTGACCAGATGGAGGGCAGCGATACTCAGCCACTGCCTGCAGCCTTGGACACTACAGACCCAGGGAGTGACTTGCCCAGGGCAGGCTGTGCCCTCTGCTACACATTGGGAATAGCTGCAGAAGGAGCCAGGAACGCCCTCTTGGCCACTCCTCCAGAATTTGAGGATGCCGATTGGAGTAACATCTAGGCCAACCTCCAGAGCCTTGTGACCCCCTGTTGTAGCCCCAGGGTGCAGGCACCAGTAAGTGGAGTGCCTCATCACTAGGCTGTGTTTTCCCTGTGCAGTGTTGGAAGCAGCTCAGCCTGTCTAGGCTGCAAGGCAGCCCCCAGAGCCCTTCTAGCAGCTAGTGATCACTGCTGGATGGGGTGGAGGGTATGTTTGGGGTCCCCCCCCACCCTACCTTTCACAAGGGTTCCTTTTTTCTTGGTCTTCATGGCTATCCATTTGATACTTTCTGCATTGAGATCCATCCAGAAGACCTTCTGCTCCACCAGGTCGTAGTCGACAGAGAAGATGATCAGGTTCCTGTCCGTGGCCGTCAGGACGTCCTCTTCCAGGTGCCGGAGCCCGTAGAGCAGTAGCTGAGACTGGATGGCCACCAGCAGCATTGGCTCAGACCCTGCAATCGCAGCCCAACCCGCAGGGGTGTTAGTTCCTGGAGCCCAGCTTGTCTCGCCCCGTCCCAGCCAACCCCCACTCACTGCCATGGGGAGGCATCTCCCCCAGGGCCAAGCTCCCTGGTGCCCAGAGACAGGAGCTGAGGGCGCTGCAAGAGCATTGAGCTGACGGCCTGGAGACCAAGGGCCTCAACCTGCAGCACTCCGGGCAGGACAGCCCCACAGGGAGGCAGTTCTGCAGGGGAGTCTGTCAGCAGCATCAGAGCAGCCCCCTCCGCCGCCAACAGGGAAGTGCCAAAGCTGGGCCCTAGGATCACTGGCTTCCTCCGTGCCTGAGCCCCCTCGTGTTGCATGAGCTACCCCCCGCCTTGCATGGGGTGGAAGAGGCCAGCAGCTCAGCATGAGGTATCTGCAGAGCAGCAGCTACCCAAGCCGGGGCCCACGAGCCAGGAAGCCCAAGACCGAGAGGCGCTTGGCTGTTCCAGGATGCCCAGAGTCCCACCTGCACCCTCCTAACGGTGCAGAGGGCAGAGCGCAGTGTCAGGAGCCTGACACCAGACAGGACCAGGACTCCAGTGGCCAGGTCCAGAGGGGAGGCAGTCCTGGTGGGCCCTGGTTCCCCAGACATTGGCTGGGGAGCTATACCTACCGGGCTAGGCTGCACGGGTCGGGCTCTGACGGCCCCAGGAAAGGGGCTGCATTTGACCTGGGACATCAGGGCTGTGCCGTCTCACCTGTCACTTTGCACTTGTGGGCGTCGGGTTCCAGCAGGTAGCCCGGGTGGCAGGTGCAGCTGTAGCTGCCGTTGGTGTTGACACAGGTCTGGCTGCAGGGCGCCTGCTCCTGGCACTCGTTGACGTCGGCGCAGGAGATGCCGTTGCTGCTCAGCCTGTAGCCCCTCCGGCAGGCACACCTCTGAAAGCAGAGTCAGCCGCTCACCCCCTTCCTCCACCCCTGGCCTAATGGACCTCAGTGCTCCTGGCCAAAGGGTGCCCAGGCCACACGCCAGGGAGAGGGGCTCCTTTCCCTCAGCATGAGGAGCTGCTTCCCCTGCTGGGTGTGGGAGCTTCAGGCAGGCATCCAGCTGGCTCCGAGTTACCGGCAGCTGCCCACTCACCCTGCCTGGGTTGTCCCAGGCTGGGAGCTACTGTGGCTGGCTCAGGAGCCCAGCACACACTAGCCAGTCTTCCAGCCCACTGGGGCTACCGGGGAGCTGGCAAGCTCCCCATTCAGTCCTCCCAGGCTGCTACCCTGGCTGCTCTTGGTGCTGGTGGAGGAAAGGGAGATTTGGCCCCATTCAAGTCCCAGCTGTGGCCCTTGACTCAAAGGCTCATCCAGCTGGGGCTGGCCCCAAGGACATGGGGAGGGGTCAGCATGAAGAGGCCAGGTGCTCTGTTTGGTGTCAAGGCTGGCACAGCCAGGCAGAAGGTGCTACAGGACCGGTCAGCAGCAGCACCCCTGTGGGGCGGCTGGCAGACAGCAAGATCAGGGCTCCCTGCCCCTCCCTCAAGGTGGAGGAGCCCAGTGGAGCATCACCCCCAGGCAGCCTGGGCCAGGCAGGAGTTTGAGACTCACAGGCCCATCGGGAGATGGGTAGCAGATCTGGGCACAGAGCCTCCCGCACGGCAACAGGCACTTCCCGCCTTCGTCCGAGCCGTCCGCGCAGTCCCGTGCGCCATTGCACACCAGGGAGTAGTTGAGGCAGGCGTGCGTCCTGCACAGGAACTCGTGGCCCTGGCACTTCCGGGGCTCACCTGTCGGGACAGACTCATTGGTTACCGCCATGGGCCAGAGGGAGCCTTTGACACCGCTCTGGGTGTGCATCAGAGTCCGGGGAGATGGAGGCTCCACCCACAGGTCAACATCTTAACATGGGCCAAGGCTACTGGCCCAGTGCAGGGCATTGCCTACAGTGCAGTGTACTGTGTACCAGGAACCCACATTACGTGGCTGTAGGCCTGTTCAAGTCCAGCCACCGACAGGCTGAGGAATCCTGAGCCTAGAAACCCTCCTTTTACCCAGGGGGTCAAACTGCTTCCCACAGTGGAGTGACTGGAGGCAGTTTGGGGAGGGGGGAGAGGAGAGAACCTGATGGGTGTAAGTTACACAAAGAAGGGGAAATTGGCCTCCATTTTTGCATGGTCAGGGCCATAGTGTCTCAGGTGATTTTCAATTGGATTCTAGTTCATGCATTATCCTTTGATTAGTCCCAACTGTAGAGCAAGGCCGAGGAGTTGGACCCATCAGTGCCCAAGTGAGTGAGGGGTGCAGGCTGAGCAAGACCTGGAAGCTCTCCCAGTCTAAGGCGCATCCAGCAAAGCAACAGCTTGGCTGCAGGGCTAAGGGAGTCCTAGAGGCGTCCTTACATCCCATCTCGTCGCTGCCGTCGCCGCAGTCTCTCTCCCTGTCACAGCGCCAGAAGTCAGGCACACACTGGTCTCCACTGCCACAGGCCCACTGCATTGCACCACACTCCAGGGTCTCCCGCTTGCAGCCCTGCGGGGGAAATGCAGCATGCGGTGAGGGTGCCGGGCAGGCACAGCGCGAGCCCTGTAGTGCTAGGTGGGCCAATGCCTTGTCTCCACCCCCCCCTCCCCCCAGAGCCAAGAGGGCTCTAGCTGATCAGAGAACTAGCCTGGAGCAACCCTGGGGAGACAAGGCCTTAGACAAGCATGTAGGCCGGTGTAGCAGGCCTCCAAGAGGAGCCTTATTTGAAGCTTGCTCTGTTTAGGCAAAGCCACGCTGTGGGACAGTGTCTCATACTGGCAGAGTCAGCCACTGGGCACTAGTTTTGGTTTCTAGGCTAGGAAGTGCCCCATTATGCTTGGGGGAGGGGGAAGAGCAGTCAGGGAAGCTGGTTTGCACAAGGGAAGGCTCTGCTGAGCCTTCAGTGTCATGTTAGCTTGTTCACAGGGCCAGGCCCTAATGGCCTTAGTGTCCAACTGACCCTCCATCCCCCCCAGCGCTAGCCGCAGCCTGTGTGCAAGGCAGCTAGGCCTGGACTCACGGGAGAGCCCCAGCAAGTTGCCGGCCACCAATACCTGCTCGTCCGTCCCGTCCTTGCAGTCCACGTCCCCGTCACAGACCCAGTCCGCCAGCACGCACTCCCCGCTCCGGGGGCACTTCACCTCCCCCAAGGGGCACAGCAGGGGTCTGGGGACGGCGCAGTCCTCCTCATCCGAGTGGTCCTTGCAGTCCTTGTCCCCGTCGCAGCGCAGGGAGGACGAGATGCACTGGCCACTCTTGCACTGGAACTCAGCCTGGCTGCACTCCTCCCACACTGCAAGCCAGAGGTCTTGTTGGAGGGGAGCTCGAGGGGCTTGCGGGAGGCTGCCCTAGACTGGGCACAGGTGCCCAGCAGGAGTGTGCTGGGGGACGCCCATGGTGGAGCAGCCCAGGTTAACCAAGGACTAGGCCAGCCGACCTCCGGCTGTACTAGCCACATTCTGCAGGGAAGAGCAATGACTCCAGCAGCCAAACTGCAGCCTTGGAGGAGCCACTGTGGTTTGGGCCCTTGTAGAGGTGTAAAGCAGCTGGTCCAGGGACTGGGGAGGGGCGTGCGCTGAGAAGCATTATCCCTGGAGCACATGGCTCTGCAGAGAGGCCCACGCCTGCCTGACCCTGCCCGGAATCCCTACCTCCGAGAGCCAGGACGCCCCAAGGCCTCCGTGCCAGCCTTACCGCAGCCCTGCTCATCAGCCTCGTCCAGGCAGTCCGGGTGGCCGTCGCAGAGCCAGCTCTCCGGGACGCAGCGTGTGTGGCCGTCGCAGCGCCGGGCGCAGTCCTGGGTGGGCTTCCAGCAGTCGAGCTCGTCCGAGCCATCCGGGCACTGCGGCACGCCATCACAGCGCTCCTGCTCCTCCAGGCACCCGGTCCCGCTCAGGCACCTGAATTTTCCTGGAAGGGGGAGGATTAGCCAGCCATGCACATGGGGGGATGCTGACAGCAATGAAGGGTTCTGCCTGGGCAGGGCAGGTAGCAGTCAGAGGGTTGCTGCCCCACAAGCTGCAGCTAGCTGGTGGGGTGTGGGAGTTTGTTATCACCAGGCATCTCTGCTGCCCAGGAAGGAAGGAAGACCAGTCTGCCTCCCGGAGGGCAAAGGGGAGTCTTCCCATCCCTGGGAGGAGGGACAGCATGGCCATTGCCACATGGATCTCTGCTCACACGAGTAGTCAGACCAAAGGGATTGCCTTGCCCCACCCCTCTAGTAGCCATGCCGGCCCCAGGCACCCACACGGCCTGCTGAGTGAGAAGGCCGACCAGTCCTGCCAGACACCCCGAGCTCTTGCTGCATCCTTACAGCACGGCCCAGGGCTCAGATGTACGCATCAGTCCCTCCCTGTGCAGGCAGGGCCAGCTGTTGCTGGGGGACCAGGGGAAGCCAGGTCTGGATCCATGCCCAAGCTGGGGCTGCCTGGCTGAGGTGGCACTTTAGTGCCACTTACTGTGCGTGGTTAGGAACCAGGGCAGCAGGAGCTGGGTTCTGACCCAAGGCTTCCTGCCTGACACTGGAAAGGGATGTAGGGCAACAGGCAAGTCTGGCTGAGTTCTGTTCATGCTGGAGGCATCTCTGGCCTGCCCAGGTGCATGATTGTGCCTGGGGAAGGGCAGCCCTGCCCCCTCCCTGCCTAGAATCAGCCTCCAGGTGCTCCCAAGAAATGCCCCCCTGCCCATCCCTCTGGTCAGTGCCACAGGGCATGCGCCTGTGCAGATGTGTACCTGGAGCGTTGCACAGCTGGGCACAGTCCTCTTCATCAGAGCCATCCTTGCAGTCCCTCTCCCCGTCACACAGGTACTCCTGGGAGATGCACTCGGACCCATCGCGGCAGGGGAGCCAGGTGCGGGGACAAGACAGAGGGGGTGGCGTGGTGGTAGTGGTCTCCAGAGCTGCTGGGGCAGCAGTGCTTCTGGCTGCTGGCAGGGGAGCCGTCACTAGCAGGGGAACAGTCACGGGCTCGGTCATGGGCTCTGGAACTAGAAAGTCTGCAGGTGAGTGGTGCCCAGGCCCTGTTACGTCCCCCAGATGGTTTTCAATGTCCAGGGATTTCACTGGTGTGTACTCCAGTGAGGGGGTTCTCTGCCTTCCAGCCTGTCTCCCCTCCCAGGGCTGCCTGGTGCAGGGGGTTGCACACGTTCACATGAATGGACCAGAGCCTCAACTCTAGAGGCCATATAGTACTTTTAGCCAATAAGGCCATGTCACCACTTATGCAAGGATCAATGCTCTGGCAATCCATCCTCCAGGGTGCGATTTAGCAGGTCTAGTCAAGCCCCACTAAATCAAACCCTGAGGGCATGCATTGGTGGTGCCAGTACTCTACGGTCAACTTCCTTTACGCCTCACAACTGGAGGATTTCCGACTGTTCTGGACTGCCCCAGGCAAAAGACTTAGTGCAAGATACAGTGACACCAGCTACAGTGTGTAGCTGGAGCACTGCATCTATTTTCTGCCCGTGTAGACCTGGTCTAAGGCTGTTCAGTATGGGGAGCCTTGTCCACCATGCCAGTAGTGAGCCAGCAGAGGGAGCCAGGCCTCTTTGGAGGGCCTGGCTGTTTGGCAGCTGTAGGTGCACAGGCTTGCTGGGCAGAGTCTACCTGCAGCTCTCCAGTTGGTTGCGCAGCCCATGGTGGGCCTGTGTGACGAGTCGGACTCCTAACCGGGTGGCTCTGGAGCATCAGGTTCCTAGCTGTGATGTTCTAGCCATGGTACGTTTGCACCTCTGTACCAGGCTGGCAGATCTAGCATGAACTGAGGGACACTGAGGCACAAGGGGGATTGCATCCTGTAATTAAGCCACTGAGTGGAGCAGTGGGCTAGTCTGACAGCACAGCCAACCCCTTATTCTCCTCCCTAGCAGCCAGGGGTTCCTTGCTCAGCTTCCCAGCCAGAGATTAGTGAGATCCAGAGCAAGACCAATAGCTGGGGCAGCTCAGTCTGCTGTTCCTACAGCTGATTTAAGTGAGGTTAGCAGGCAGTGATCAAGGGCAGCTCTGCTAGTCCAGGGGCAGACAGATCCCAGGGAAACTGAGACCTCATCAGCATTCAGCAGCTGGGAAAGATTGCTTCTAGGGTCCCCCTGCAGTTGTGTAGCAGGTACGGGCCAGCAGAATCCCTTTTCATTCGAGGAGCCCTATGAAAACCAACCTGTCTCCAGCGGGGTGGCCAAACCCACCACCACTTTCTGTATATTGGCCTCTGTCACAGCTCCGACCGGCTCCATTGTTCTCTGGTCCCACAGCAGAAGAGCAGTTTTGTTGACTGACACTAGGTAGGGCTCATAGGCTGCAGCAAGCTGGTAAGGCCAGCTCTCCTTCAGTGTGCCCCTCTGCCTCTTGGCCAGGCTCAGACTCTGCAGGCCTGAGACACAGAGACACAGAGACACAGAGATCAGTGCCAGACTGCTCCAAGGCAGCCTCCTGCCCATACCTTTGGAGGGACCTTAGAAAGGTGTTTCGCTGGCCGCCAGGACTCCAGCATAATGGTGTTGCTGCCCACAGAGCAGGAAAGTGCCTGGAGTTACTGATTGCAGGGGCACTTGGACAAAGTGGACTAGCAGTCTGAGACACAGAGACACAGAGACACAGAGATCAGTGCCAGACTGCTCCAAGGCAGCCTCCTGCCCATACCTTTGGAGGGACCTTAGAAAGGTGTTTCGCTGGCCGCCAGGACTCCAGCATAATGGTGTTGCTGCCCACAGAGCAGGAAAGTGCCTGGAGTTACTGATTGCAGGGGCACTTGGACAAAGTGGACTAGCAGTTCGACTGGGCCAAGCCACTCCTGGGCCATTGTGTCCAGGGTAGGTTTGATGGAGTCCTCTGCCAGGGACCAAGTTAAGTTTTCCTACATCAGTAGCCAAGGGCCTAGCCATCTCTGGAGGCAGATGGAACACCCCTAGTTTTGGGGGACCTCAGCTCCCCCAGCAGGGATCACTTCCCCAGCCCCTTGGTGCTCCAGCCCGTATCTGGAGATGAAGGGAAAGTTTGCCTCATGCAGCACAGCTGTTTGCTGAGGTTGGCAGCCGGTGAGTTGAACAAGCCAGTGCTAAACTTGCCAGCTACTGTACCAAGCGCTGGGGCACTTCCTAGCCAGGGCTAGCTGTTTGAGGGATCTTCAGCCACCTTAGTCATCCTGACGGGAAGGTGAAGAGAAGTGTCTAGGAATCTTGCCCCCCCAGAGCTGGGAGTGTTTCCTGTCAAGGGTTTTGGTGTCCAAGCTGGGTGGTTGTGCAGCTGCTCAGGAGAGTAACGAGGGATGTGGAATCCCATTTGTTGGGCTGTAGTGTTTAATCTATTAGAGGGGTGGGCGACTTCAGACCAATCAGAGCATCCCCTGGCTGTAGCTGCTCTGAACCCCCCCGGTTAACCTTCCTATTCCTCATTCCAGTGCCACCCAGCAGAGCCCATTGCTAGGTTGGGCTCTCCTGGTGGAGCATGAGGAGATTAGAGGAAACTGACTAATGAAGACCAAAGCCACGCCCCCTGCCCTGGCAGGGCCAATCTCATTTTAGAGTGGAGTGTCAGTCCTGCTCTTACCTCGGTTTTTGCAACTCCAGAGGAAGCTGAAGGACTCTGTATCCAGGGTGATCTGGATGTCTCTTGACCAGGTTTCGTTCCAGGCATCCTGCACCTCCCCTCCAGCCAGGTTCATCTGCTGGAGGGGTTTGCCATCCTCCAGCCAGTAGAGGGTGGCCCGCGGCCAGTCTAGGAACAGGTGTGCGATGATGCTCTTGGAGCGGTAGAGCACACTGGTGGCCATGTCCGTGAATCGGCAGACTCGGATGTCAGTCCTGTCACATGTCAGCCAATAGACGTCGCCAGAGGCTATATCGACCGTGGCTGAGCAGACTGCAAGGGGAGAACGATTCCATGACCGGCAAGTCAGAGGTAGTGCACCCTCTGCACAAGGGTGTTGTGCTCAGCCCTGCCGGAGGGACCTATGACCAGTGTAGCATGTGCTACTTACTAGAGGGTGCATGTGTCATGCTACTGACTGTTATGTAGGAGAAGATACTGAGCAAGGAAGCAGCCAGACCCCAAACTAGCCCTTACTGCACAGGAACATAGAAGCTTCTGAGCAAGGAAGCAGCCAGACCCCAAACTAGCCCTTACTGCACAGGAAGACTTTCCCCACCCAAACTAGCTCTCCACAGGCATCATGAGTACAGAGTCCTCTGTGGCTGGAGCTGCAGAGTCTGGTCTTAGGCCTCGTTCCCCTCCCACGGCTTTGAGGGGAAGATGGGAGGAGGCCAATGCAAGACTAGTCAGAATGTGGCTTCCCCTCTCCAAAGAGGAGTGCAGGAAGGCTCGTATGCAGTGGGGAGGCCAGTCCTGGGGGTTCTGGCACCTCTGAAGTCTGGGTGTGTTGGTAAGAGTAGTGGCTTTAGTAAGAGCCATGGACTACTCTGGTCCATGCCAGGAAGTGGGGGTTGCTGGGCACAGGAGGTTGGTCTGTTTGGGGGAGGATGCAGCTTTGCCAAGGGCCTATCAAGGGGAAGTCCCTGCTTCAGCATCTCACCCGGCAGCCCCGTTCGGATGGCTTCCTTCCTTGGGGAGCGCCACGTGAAGCGCATCAGGTCCCCCTCGTCATCGGTCCAGTAGAGGGCACCTCTTCTCCAGTCCACATCCTGCAGGTGGAGGTTCTGCGGCCAGTCCACCACCAGGGTGCTCTTGGGAGCTGAGCCCAGCAGACCCACTTGCAGCGAGAAGATCTTTTTGGGAGTCGCATACAGGAAGGTCAGCTCTGTGGACAGGGTTAGTGTCAGGTTACGTTAGCTCATGCAGGGCAAAGCCAGGATGCTCATTGGGGCAACTGAAGAGCATCTCCTCCCACTGTCAGCCCATCTTAGAGAGTGATTAAGAGGTTTAGCTTCCTTGGAGCCAGGAGGATCTCAAGAAGAATGCTCCTTTCAGACTCTGGGACCTTCCCTTCCAAGAGCTGCAGCAGGGGAGGAATTACCCAGCTAGAATAAGCCAATGCAGCTGTAGCACTCTAGAAGCTCTGATGGAGTCCAGCACTATTGTGCATGGTCCAAAGCCTTCTGGCTACTGGGTCCCCCCCAGTGGGCCACAGTCTGTACTCCAGGTGACCAGACAGATGCACATCTCCAAGGTGTGCATCTTGCTTGCTAGCTCAGTGTGGGTGATCAGCACCATCTCAGGCACGATTACTCCCTAGGCACCTGGGGAGAGTTGCCAGTGGGGTCAGGTGTAGACCTGTGCCCTACAGCTCCCTCTGGGAATGTCCCAGGACATGAGCCTTTTGGGTTGTCACCCTCGGCACCCAATGGGGACCTCCTCCTCCCATTGGACTTCTGCCTCCTTGACTGCCAGGAGTGAGGTGGACCAGACTACAGGTGCCCTCTACAGCAGTTCTGATAGTGCTTGGCAGGGGGACCTGTGAACAAGCCTCTTTGCCCCATGCAGATGCAGCCTCTAAGAGCAGCTCTGAGGAGACCAGGTCAGCCTGAACAAGCCCCTCCCAGCTGTAAGCCCTGACAGGCCAGAAGGCTGCATTGGATCCAAGCCAGTTCGGGTGGGGGGTGTCAGTGTAGCACACTCCCCGCATGCTGAGAGAGAGAGACTCCCCATTTAGAGGCACTTACCTGCACATGTGCCAGGTGGCAGAAGGACCATGCCCTCTGGGCAAGCACACTTGTAGCCCTTTGGGTGGATGGGTGACAGGAGGCAGAGGTGGCTGCAGAGGCCTGGGGCACAGGCAGTGGTGTTCCCTGGAGAGCAAGACTGTTAGTCTGCTAATGTCTCAGTGACCTGACAGTTTGCCTCATGAGCCTGCCCATGCCCCGAGTCTCTGGCCTCCTCTCGACTAGCAGAAACCGACCACGGAGCTTCTTGCGCCAAGTACCAACACTCGGTCCTGGGGCAGCCAGCCCAGAGGGGCACCAACATGTCTGCAGGGCCACTCTCCCTGGCTGCAGGGCTGAAGCATGCGGGTGAGCAGGGGGCCACCTGACAGCCTTACCTTGGATTCCAGACAGATGGGCAGAACTGGACTGAGGGTGGGCAGGGATTTTGGACCTCAGTCCAGGTACTCCCAGGCTTCCCCCCCCGGCAAGAATGGGGCAAAGGTGGCTTCAAGTGGATGCTCCATATTGCAGCAGCCCAGAGGCTCCAGAGCTGATGCCTGGGGCCCTCCCACCTACAGCAAGTGCCTCTGAGCATCCTCCAACCCCCACAGGGGGAAGTAATAGAGTCTCCCCACGCCCCATCTCCTTTGCTAGGAGCTGGCAGAAGGCCTGGCCCAGAGCCCTTTGACATCCCCACCCCAGTGAGGTGCTCTGCACAGGGCTGGCATTCCCATGCCTTGCCAGTGCCACCCCACTGGAGCAATGGATGCCTTGGGGTCCTTAACACCAGTGACATCTGCCAGCACCTCACTGAGCCTTTTGGAAGAGGAACCTTCCCAGGCATACGACAGGGGACTGGACGTGACTAGAACCATCAGGAGCTGCCTGCAGTGAGTCTCGCAAATTGGCAGCAGCATGTTGTGCTGTTCACCACTCCAGGTGCCCAGTGGACACTTGGCTTGGTTCTGTTGACCTGTCCGAGTGGCTGCAGCCCAGCTGGGTTTCCCCTGCCATCTGCCCACACACCTGGCTGCTGCTGCAGTTCATGCAGCACGGTGAACGCCGAGACGGAGGTGTTCCACAGCACCTGCCTCTCCCGTGCAGGGCTGCGAGGTGCCGAGAGGAGTCTCTCTGCGTCAGCCCAGAAGAACCAGTTCTCAAACACCACCAAGCCCACAGGGTCCTGGTCTTTCAGGAGCATCTCTGGAAAGGTGTAGCGCCCACTGCCGTCCACCTTGACCGTTTCTATGGACTGAAAGACAAGTGGGTCCGTCAGCAACAGACACCCCCACAGCTCTTCAGGACTGTCTGGAGGGACACTAGTGCCCATGTTTCCTGCCTGTCCAAGCAGTTGGGGTGCCCCCTTTCCAGGGAAGGGTGGGGTGAGTTCCAGGGATGCAGGGCTTAGTTTTTCCATTTGCACTTCAGCTCAGGCAGGGACAGGATCCTGGGGGACTCAGCAGGTGGTGTGCAGAAGCCCTTCTAGGGCAGGGCAGCCTTCAGCATGGAGCTGAGTGTCTCCTCAGCATAGAAGGGAAGGCTGAGGAAGACTGGTTGCCCTTTCAGCCACGCCACTTGCTGGCCAGCATCCTGTTGCCAGGCTCACTGTCAAGTTGCAGAATTTGCCAGGATTGTTATGGAAAATGCAGTTTTGGTAAAGCCCACAAGCCAAGCTGTTCAGCAGCATGCTGGAAAGAGCTAGTGCCTACTAACTGCCTACGCCCCTTTCCGAACATTCCTACCAACTGGCATCCACATGGGACTGCCTGTGACCCAGTTATGGGAAAAGACATTTCAGTTCTCCAGAGCTGTCCAGGGTAGCCAGGGACAGCGCCGTAATACACTGTGTGGGCTGATGGGAGAAGCAGCATTTTGCTTTTAAGGTCATTTAGGGATGAACCTGCTTCTCATCTTTTGCTTGAGAGTTTTAGTCTTGCTGCAACTCCTCTTTGCCCAGGGGCTAAGACTCTACTGCGGCTGTCAAATAGGTTATGCCAACCTCTGGTAACGAGGCACAAGGGCTACATCTAGACTGGCATGATTCTGCAAATGCTTTTAATGGAAAAGTTTTCCGTTAAAAGCATTTTTGGCAAAGAGCATCTAGATTGGCAGATGCTTTTCTGCAAAAAAAGAGCTTTTGCAGAAAAGCATCCGTGGCCAATCTAGATGTGCTTTTGCGCAAAGCCCGCTTGCCATTTTCGCAATTGGGGCTTTGTGGAAAAGCACGTCTCGTGCCATTTTTGCAATTGGGGCTTTTTTGCAGACAAGCACGTCTCAGCTGTCTACACTGGCCCTTTTGCCCAAAAGTTTGTGCAAAGGGACTTTTGCCCAAACAGGAGCAGAACAGTATTTCTGCGAGAAGCACTGATTTTACAGTAGGAAGTCAGTGCTTTTGTGGAAATTCAAGTGGCCAGTGTAGACAGCTGGCAAGTTT